GTCTAGTGGAAGGTGTCCCTGCCCACGGCAGGAGGGTTGGAACGGATGATCTTTAAGGTCCCTTCCAATCCAAACCATTCTATGATTCTTTAAATTCATTAAAATGTGCTATGCTGTATTACTGGCTGTATGTTCTGCTATACTGATGTTCTCCAAACCTACAATTTTAATTTTGCCTAGTATTTGACCCTGCCCTACTTAAAAACAAGTGTTTAAAAATCACTTCATGTATTTTTTATAACCAGAAGCATAGAATAATTGAGGTTGCAAAGGACCTCAGGTGGTCTGTAATCCAACCTCCTGCTCAGAGCAAGGTCAGCCATGAGATTTGATAAAGTTGCTCAGGGCTTTATCCAGTCTGTTTTTGAAAACCTCCACTGATAGAGGTTGCACAGTACGTCTGGGCAGGCTGCTCCAGTCCTTGACTGTCTTAAATTGCAAAAAACCAAAAAAGAACACTAAATCCGCCCCCCCCCCCCCCCAAAAAAAAAAACCAAAACACCCAAAAAAAACAAACCAAAAAAACCACAAATCCACAAAAAGCTCTTCCTTATGCTTCGCAGGGGGAAAAAAAAAAAAAAAAACAAAACAAATAAGCAACTGTAAAAAATTATATTGCTGTAGTACAAGAAGATATTAGGAGAAAACATGGGTCACCTGTGCACCTATTTTGAGGTCCTCTCACATTCTGCTTGGACTTGGAACAACAGTTTTCTTTCAGTGGCTGGGAGAGTGGAAGGGAAAGCAAAGGATGGAGAGCAGAACCTAGAGATACAGGATATTGATCCATAATGTAAAGAGTCAACAATTAAACAAATTAGGTCTCCATTATTTCACAGAAATCTAACATCACTATTTTTCAAAGCTGTCATAAACTAATGCCTCCATCATCCTACTCACATAGTTAATACTTTTGATTCACTTTTGTGAAGCTGTGCAGAATCGCCTAACAAAAGAATCAAGGATACAAGTAGTCACCTGCAACCCTAAAGTCTGCATTATTGGAGACAGTGGTTGACGTTTGCACGACCTGAGCACATCATGTAACACTATCCAGCTCCATGCGTACAAGATGGAGCCCTGAGCTGCGTACCTCTTCGCAGTCCCAGAAGGACTTCATGTTTCTAAGCCCAGCTCAATTCCTAAAGCCTGCCCAGTCCCAGCTCACCACAAGGCCCATCTCCAAAAGGCATCTTTTACCAAGTAGTTCCTAAGCAAGCGATCTTGATTATCAAAGTCATCCAAAACCTTCTTCAAGAAGCATTACAAAGCTTGGCTTTGATCCAGGGGATGGGAGCAAGGATTAATGTTAGCTTTAAGTGCTGAACGATAAACCCAGATACATTTCACCTGTGGTCCAAATAGAGCTTTGAGCTCTATCACTGTGACAAAGCTAGAGGCATGCATGTGGAGTATTCAAGTGGAACAAATGGACTTGGGGTCAAGGGGAAGGAAAGAAAAAAAGAAAAAAGGTAGTTACATACTTGTTTTCAAGAAAATCCAAGACAGAATAAAGGAAGATTTAAACCCAAGGAGAAGGTTATTAGGTTTCTTTCACCATGTAGCTCTGTATTTCTTTTTTATATTGTAATCAGACACACTGCAGTTATACTGCTAAGATGAATCCTCGGCCCAAATTACTTTAAAGAAACAAACAAGTAACAATTTTGGTCTTATTTCTTCCAAGTTCCTAGTAAAAAATTTATTTAGTCAAAGAAAATGGGTAGGACACCACATGCACAAGTGCCTTCAAATATCCAGCATCAAACACCACAGGTTTAGATTGTGGCTGAAGGAGACAGAGCGTACACCATGCTCTTGTAGTTTCCCTTCTTAGAGCTTAAGCATATGGTATGGAAAAGACTATGCTAAAATAAGGGGTTTCCATTGATAAAGCTGTATTTCTGCAGAATTGCATGCATATAGAAAAAAGACACTTTGATGACATTTGGTAGTCTTGAGCACTATGATGACAGAGTAACATTTTAGTGCTGTGCCCAAGAAAACTACTGCATGGGAAGGATTCTGCACATGGTTTGACCTACACCACAGTTTATTTGTAAACATTTGTTACATGTGCCATTAATTTAAATGAACACAGACTTTGTACAATTCAATGTATAATATTAACAATGTCACACTAGAAGAGTGCAACTGTATTCAGTTACAGTCTTACTTTAAAACCTTCAAATCACAAACCATTTGGAACACAGAACAGGAAAATAAAGGAAAATTTGAGAACAATGAGGCAAAAGAAAAGAGAACGGTGAAATAAGTCACGATCAAAAAACCTGAAAACAAATATAACACACTTTCTAGTTGGCTCCTGAACATCTTCAGGTGCATCCATCTAGACTGAATACTACTTGGGTTGTGCCAGAGCACAAAGCCAACCTCTCTTCCACAAGTTAAAAATCTTGCTGAAGACAGAAACTTCAAACAGCTTTACAATGCGTAATGCATGTCACTTTCCCCACTGTCAATAAAACTACCTCAAGAAAATAAATTGATTTCATTTGTCTTTATTTGCAATACAATATAAAACAGACTCTTTTGGTATGAAGATCTTTGAGATCTTATTTTTTACACCATATCTAAAACAAAAGTCACATACTTTGCGTAAAGCCTCTGGACCATCCCAAGCGTTGGAGTTGTAGTTGAGTTTCAGGTATTTATGGACTTCTTTGGTTGCAATCTATTCAGTAAACTTCAGATATGCACTTGAACACTTAAGCTTCTAAAATAGTGTTGAAGCATCTAAATTAGAGTGGTTTGAGTTCTAAAAAACTGCAACGTATCTGGAATTCTCATGATTACCTGTAAGATTTATGGGTATTAAACAACTCTGAAGAGCAGGCTAGTTTTATTTAGAAACTTTACTTTAAACCACCTAGTAACAAAGGGTATCCTTCACTTAGTAACACTGAAGAATATACAGTGAGAACAAGAAATTTTCATCCATTTTCAAACTTCCATACAACTTACACTGTCATCACTTTACATACTAGTATAGACAGTGCATGGCAAAATTCGATACAATACAGCAAACTAGCTCATCTACTACAGCTCACTGTAGCACTTAAAGTAACATCTATACTACTGAAAGTGTAAGTCATCATCTACTGCTTAGTTCCTATACAGTGCTAGATATTGGCTTAATCTCCACATAACAATTCTCACAGTAAATGTTTCCTCTGCCATTGCTAGCAGACTGACATCCAATTCGTCTTTAATTTCTTCTGAAGGAAATAAGGCAACTTAAAAACTGCTATGGAGACTATGCACATCCAGTACAAAAGTCACTGTAGAGTAAATGATCAGCTTTATATAGATAATCTAACTCTGTAATATATGCAGAGTACTAAGTTCAGCTGCTGTTGGTAAAACACAAAACCAAAACAGATGTAAGAAAGCAGCACTGAGCAAACTGAAGTACCACAGACTTCCAGTTTCTTAGAGCACAACTCCTACACTTACACTTCAGGAATGTATATAAAGCAAAGGAAAAAACAAGAAAAATGGAATTTTCAGTTGTAACTGAAGCCACTGCATTATCCTGTCATGGTATGTTTGTCCTTTTCAAACTTTTGTCATGTTTTTTTTCTTACAGCCATACAGAACAGGATACAAACCCAAATATCGTCATTTTTACCTTGCTGTTGTCCAGCATCATCTATGCCACAGATTCTTGGTCCATTATGTATTGTAGACTAGTAATGACAGAATGGTTAAGTCTCACTTTTAATTATGACTATTTAAAACACGGCAGTTCCAGTAAAGAAGAGAGTTGGCAGGGTTAGACAGCCAGGTTAAAAGTCTTAACATTTTACATCTCTTGTTCTCCTCATGTGCTAAATGGGATAGACTTTAAGCTGGCAAAAAGTTGTTAATGCCTAATATAAACAAAGTGAAATCATGCTACATAAAATCATCCCCTACAAATAGAGCCAGAACATGATTTTAGATGAAATAACTGACTGTTAATGTTTGTCATAATCAGCAGCTAATGGCTCAGGGAAAAGAGATGCAGAGAAGTCTCTGCCTACACATCCTCTGCTGTTACGTTCTTTTATTCATGACTGTCATGTGAAAAATCAAGAGCTCTGTTCTTTCAAACATTAGCTAGGTCTGTCCTGTTGATTATCTACCTTAAACTCAATTTACAACATCAGGAGTTTTCCCACAGCAATCATCACCAGCTTCAAATAACAGTGAGGGATTAACACCCTGTGTGATCAAATCTCAGACACTCCTGGTTTCATAGAAAAAGCAAGATGAATCCATTATCACCGAGAAACCCCTGAACAGAGTCAACCACTTGAGCCCTTCCATAATTCCACACCTCCATCAAATTCTGCCAGAGATGGAAGTGCACCACTCATCTTCAAAGTGGCCTTAAGTCATCAGCAGGCCTTTGAGTCTGCATTAACTCAGCCCCAAATCTCTTTCCATTGTACTGATTTGTCAAGGCCCCAGTGTCAAGCTGAACTACAGAATTCAACAATTCTTAATGCCCCACATCACCGTGATACTTTTTTTAAACAGTTGGTATCACTGAGCTTTCGGAGGAAGAGCCAAATCTCTCACCTTTATACAGAAAAATTTTCAGTTATACAGTACAAAACTAAACAGAATTTATGTCTCGGTAACGAACATAGAAAACTACTATTGTAATTTTGTGGTGACAGCGTAGAAATTTAACAATCAGACAGCCTAGAAAGGACATGTTTAGTTATAAAAGAAAGATTGTCTCAAGATAAAAATAGTGCTGACAGCTAAAAAGCTCTCTGTTGCAGCAAGATATGCAGTAATGAGTAACAAGTTCTAGACAGTTTAAGCACTTCCCCAATACTGCAAGACAACACATTTTTGTAACACTACTTTTACACGGGTTATGCTGCAGCAGCAGTACACTTCTTAGTGGTTGGCACTAGGAATTAACCATAATAGAAGAAAGGCATTTAGTGATCAACGCATGAGAATCCCTATTTGACCTGTTCTTAGGTGTGGCTGAAAAAAACTGAGGAAGGGGACCATCCGTTCCACTCAGATAATACACCTTCTTTGAAGATGAGATTCTTGGCAGGAAGTGGAACACCCATATCTGCAGAAATAGGCTGCAAAAGTGAACTTGAAGAACCAGCATCATGGAGCTGATCCAGTGTTGAAATACCTTCCTAAACACAAAAAGAAAAAACAGTGTCTTAAAAAGATGACAAACAATGAAGGATTTAACAGGTAGAATATAACAGGCTAATCTAATCTGCAAATACATTTAGTGTTTCTGAAGTGTGGTACTTTAAGCAAATAAACACCAAATCATTATGGAAGTAAAAACAGAATAAACAAAGGCAAGCATGAAATAAGCATACAGTTGCCTCAGCTGCATTTATGCCCACGTTACTTGGCTTCGAAGAAACCTTCACGGAAGCTTGAGGTTTAAAATTGAAGGAAATACCTAGCAAAATGAATGTAAAACTATAAAATCTTCAGAACAGCTATCATACTGCTATTTATCCCATACTGTGCTAAGAGGTATAGGTATATTTGTAGGCACTGACTTGACCATATTTTGAGTAGTTTTATTTCCCAGAAGCCTGGCTTTCGCAGCTTAAAAATAATTTCAGCACCTTCTTTTTTTTCTCTCTATGATAATCATCAAGAAAAGGGTATCTCAGAGATAACATCTAAGAGATTACGACAGGAGTCACTTGAGCCTGTTTGACAGATGGTTTCAAGGCATCAAAACTACTGGGAATCTCCAACATTCTCATGAGGAGGCAGTTTCAGGATCACACCATCCATAACACCACTTGGTTAAGTAACCTGCAAGTTCCTTACCTTACTGAAAGGATAGAATTTTAGAGAAAAGCACCATAAGACATAAGCAGCTAAGCAGTTTCTGTGTTACATGTGGACATGCCTTGCTAGCATACACTTCCATACAGAATTATAGCAGACTGCAGACCTGGCGTTCCTCCTTGCTTGCTACACAAGACCCCTATTCTCTATCTATGCTCTTAAAAAATCCTCCCAGAATATGCAGGTTTACATATTTATACTCATTCAATGCTAAGCTCTAGAGGATCTTTGGACAAGTGCAAAAAGTAACTGGTACGAAATACATGTTAATGTATTTTATTTTTTCCGAAGGGAACACAGTTGACTTGAGATAGAGATAAAAATCTCGAAAGATTAGCATATCCATGGTTTGCAGTGAATCTCCCTAACATATCTAAGAAGCAATCAAGTAACCAGGAGAGTAGGCTCTTCTACCACAGGAGGAGTGAAGAACAATTTTGCTGTGCAAGTCCCATAAAAAATAATGGAACTAGATGCAACCACAGAAGTTAAGTATTAAATAAGGCTAGAAAAGGGATAGAGAAGTACTCACTTTTTGCTAACAGTAGCATTTGAGGTTGATAGTGCACTTAATAGAGTTACCATTTAAAGAAAAAGCAAATAAAACAAACCACATATGTTTCCATACACCCAAGAGTGGCAAGTAGGAGGGCAAGAAGGGATAACAGACAATACAGAATGATTTACATCTGTATTAGTGCTCCTTACCTGGAATGAATGAACAAAATTAAGGACCTGAAGAGACAGCTTTCTACTGGAATGTAAGAGTTTTTGAAGGCTGTCAAAAATGAAAGAGAAGAAGCTGTGTCCAAGGTGCACAAATTTTTACTAGTAAATTACCACCATAGTAACTTGTGAGCAAGTAACTCTAGTAGTACTTAATACCATGTGACAAAGTTATCAAGCTTTCTGTGTGAAAGCTTTTAATACTGCCATCACTGAAGAGGTGCTCAACTCATCTGCTCTTGAGTCTAGTCAGCTAAATGCTATTCTCCCTACTGCTTACACAACACAAAAGTCAAACTATCTCAATTGAAAAATGCTATTTTACATAAGATACTAGTATATTGGACTTTTTCATGTCTCATTCTTATCTAGGACAGGCTGGTAACATGACTTTTAAGCAGCAGATTAGTGACACACTGTTAAAAAAGCAGGTCAACTACTATAATAAAAATCCTTGAACCATGTTTTCAAGCAGCCTTATTTTTGGTGTCCAAAACCATGCCTTAGGAAAATTTTTTTTTAAAAAAAAACAAAACCAAAAAACCACACAAACACAAAAACACCAATCCAAACAAAAGAAACAAACCCAAAAATCCCATTGCTGAAACAGTAATCTTTCATAAAGAAAAGCTACAGTAAAAAGCAGAAGATAGCTTGATCATAAGCCATGACTAAATTTAGCAAATAACATACTGATAGTAAAGAAAATTTCCACAAGAGCTAAATGTATTTTACAAAGCATTACAATAAGCTTTCCCCCCACACCTCAGAATGGTTCGGAGGAGGAAAGAAAGCCTGAGCTAGGCTAGAAAGGGGAAAGCAGCAGGAAGGCACCCAAATCTACTTTTTTCCCCCCAATCTGTTCATAGACAGTTTACTACAAAGAATTAATTTTCACTTTGCAGAAACTATAAAATCAGCCTAATCTTAACCTTACCACAACTAAGGACTACTAGATTGTACATTATAGCTCGTATCTATGAGCCAAAAAGCAACCACCTTATACACTAGAATTAGGACCTCTATGAAACTTAGCTCAGTTCTGCTCTTATAGTCATCGAGTTGTAGGTATCATTTTTTGCAGAAGCTCTGGACATAACACATACCATCTGTTAAACCTGTAGCTAATAAATTACAGCTCACCTTTCTTTTCTACATAATCCATGAGTGGCAATTTTTCTGCAGACTTTCTGATTCAACTCAGAGCTGAAGAGCGGGATGCCAAAGCATAATTCCAGGGGAACCCATTCCAGTTCTGTTGTGGGCACTACAGAAACAAAACAAAATTTTAGGAAAAGACAAAGCAAGAATATTGAGCCCAGAATCAGTTACGTCAGATCAAGATCCATGGGACAGTTCATACTTTTTAAAGACAGTTCATTTACTAAACTGCTCAAAGACTTAAGGGAAGGAAAAACAGTTAGTGCTGCACTTGTCTCAGACAACCAAACAACAATGTGTTCAGATCCCTAAAAACAAGATATGTCATTAGACTGAAAATGCTTAGAACAAGCCATTTTTTACGTTTTTACCTTCAAGGCTTTGCTTTACCGCAGAATCCAGTGGAGTTTCTTCTATTACCATCTCAAATGATTCTGTGCTCCCATTTACATCAGATCCTGACGCTAGTTCAGCCTCTGCTAAAGGTAAAGTAATTCTTACATAAACATGTAGATGAATATAAATTTAGTTATCACCTGACATGAGGAATATGACAAGCTTTGCCCAAAGATAGCTATAAAACTGGAGGAAGGGATATGGAGAAACATAGGGCCTGGCTCGTTTTAGGACTAAAGAGTCACTTGGGGATCCTCAACACACTTACGAAAGATCAAGTTCTGGCATATAAAAAAGACATAATTTCCTTTTAATATTTTGAAATTACTCTTTTTTTTTTCTTCTATTGACTGTTGTACTCCAGTGATTTTTCAGTCTGTAGTTGCTATTTCTGAGTTAGACACAAAGAAAAATTAGGAAGTAAGCCTACTGCCAAGAGATTTACACTCAAAATGGGTTCATATCTGTGTTGGATAGTATTTTGTAGAGTTCCAAGTCAAAGAATTTAATCCTTTGTTCATCTTTGCTGAAGTGCTGATATGCAAAATTAAGGGAACACAGCCAAAGAGACAGTTATCAGTAACCAACCTCTTCCGTCAGAAGCATCACTCAGCTTTCTGTTAGCATGCCGACTTGAAGGATTCAACATGGTGACATAGCCACAAAAATGCTGCAAGTCTACTTTGTTTCTCAGTATTTTTAAAGCCGTATGAATGCCCATGTTCACACGAGAGAAGTCTAGTAGAAAAACAACACATATTCCAGCTTACTTTACAAGAAGCCTTCTCCATAACCATACAGTTCACCTCTAGGCCACGCTATGTTTTTTATCTGGATTTTTTGTTCTTGTAATGCTCTGCTAGCAACCACATTGGTAGATCTGGGATAACACATAAATGATGACAGTCTTCTCACACCAAGCACTAATTGGTATTTTACAGTACAGTAAGAGCCAAGGAGAAAAAAATACAAACAGAAAATGATCGATCTCTCTGACACACAGACACACACAGACAGCAGGGTAAATTATGGTAAATTCAACACAAGATACATGTTCCACATACTGTATTCTAATTCTTCAGAATTTCAGGTATTAGAAGTTAACAAGAGGTTTCAACATTGAGTTGTTCATGCTAGAACTTAAGAGATTCTGCCTTCAAGATTTTTCACTTAGCATCAAGTCGGAAGAAAACAGACATCCCAGAGAGTGCGAATATAAAAGTAACTCATTTTGAACCTAGTAAACACTAAGTTAGAAAGCTAGCTTTACTTCTAGTTGGCCCAGATTTTTTTAAGTGGTAGCTTAAATAATTTCAGGTTTCATATCTGGAAATCCGTATTTTTTATGACAGCTCTCAGTTGGGAAGGCTATGGCCTCAGCTATGCAAAGTTTGTGTCCTACTAATCAAGGAGTATTTCAGAACATGCTAATCTCTGCCTTTCAAAATCAGTTGAGCTAGGCAGCCTTTGAACGAATAGGAGATTTTACTAGCAAAGCTCTTCCTGGGGAAAAAACCTCCATAATAGTTCCTAGTGTTACTAATCAAGATAGGTTTGTTCAGTTTTGGTCTCACCTGTCTTACAGTTAAGAGATACTGAATAGAATATATGGAAGATTTATTTATGCATTTAATAAATATGCTAGTTAATAAGCAAGTATGCACAAAGAAAGATTCAGAGGTGTTTGTGACAGTTACTTATTTACATCTGTGCTAGGAGAGAAAAGAGGCCAGAAAACACATTCTAATTTGGACAGGGAGAACAGAAAGAAGACCGTATCTCCAAGCCTAGAACAGACACATTAACCATTTAAATATTCTTTCAATTTTCTCATCTAACTTGACTCATAAGTCCAAGAAAATTACTATTAAAAGGATTATTGCAACCTTACTGCATAAGGTAATGTGCAAGAAAATTAAGTATGGTGGTGTAGAGATTACATTAACGACAGTCAGTTACCTCCCTGCTGCTCAACTTCATCGAACGGGAAAGGTATATGCATTGTTTCTCCCATTCCATGCATGCCATGTCCCTGAACATCAAGAAATTAAATTAAAACCAGAAAAATATACTCATCAGCTTAGCTTAGTCCTACTTGTGCTCCCTTTTAAAGAGTAACAGTCAAGTTGTTGAAACAAATAAGCAGATCAAGATATTTATACATTGAAGTTCTTGCTTAGCTGAAACAAGTAATTAAATAAGATACCCCATCGTTCCCCTCAAAATGCATGCAAGTAAACACAATGAAGCTAAATTTCAGTGAAGAGGAGCAATATTTCTCTCCAATTACTGGTTATAAACGGATTTCCTAATTGCTGAGCATTTCTGGAGCAAAACAGAGTTTCCACCCCTAAGTACAGTAATTTTTGAACAGCCACGGCTGTCACAAGTGGGTCTTTGAGAATATGTAATTTTATGTTTGTTACAATATGAAACATCTATTTATTTGAATGATTAACTCTGAGAGTTCAGCTGAGCCAAAGAAACAGAAGAGGAAGCTATACTACTTCTCCCAAATAGACAAACCTACTCTATTTCTGCTGTTTGTGATAAAGAGCATGTTTTGCTCATCTTTACTGTAAGAGCTAAATACCAGCCACTCTGAAAAAGTCCATTTCTTGAATAACAGTTCATACTCCCAGTTACCTTATACCACTGCTGTCCAAGTAGCTTGTGGGCTTCTCACTTTCATTCCAGCTTCCTATATCCCCACTCTCATAAATCCAAAACTCTGTTATGTCTGCCCATAATACACTAATGCATACATAACATGCATTCAGTTCAAAACTCATGCCAACCACCACCAAATCATAGCAGCACTGGCTACAAAATTTAAACATGTTTTTCAGGTCTTGGCAAAACTGTAGCTCTCCAACATTGTTAATCTCCTCTACCAAGTAACAGCTCAACTCAAAAAAAATTGTGCATGTTTTCATCATTTATACAGAGCATTCTGTACCTGAATAAGAACAGCAGAATGTGTTAAAGCATCGTTCAACATTGTGAGCACATTTGAAGTGGGAACTACTCCTGGATCATGACCCCAAGACGTTATTAGTAAGCGATCATAACCCTGGAAGAAAGAAATTAAGAGTATTTACAGTACTAATTGACTATCCAAGCACATAAAGTGAAATACTAGTTAGGCATTAGTATATTGTTACAATTAGCAAGTTACCATAGGTAACTACAACTCTACAGTGTTATTGTACTTTGTACCAAGGATCATTTATGCTCATATTCCTGGTAAAGACAGAAGTTTACCAGCCTCAAAGTTAAGGTGCTATTTTGAACAGTAGATATCTGTCACCAATTCCTGTAGAGCTATGTGGCCATCCCAGCAGCCTCCTAGCAAACAGGAGATTAAAATAATCCCACATAAATTTAAAAGCAAAGAATAAGCTAGATTAACACTTTCAGAGAACAAAGATATATCAATTTCCAAAATACCTATTCAAGGCAGAGAAACAGGAAGATAAGAACACTAACTAGGAAGTAATTTCCTAGTTTCTCAGTTTAAGATTGAATTCCCCTGCATCCCCATAAGATTTCTAGAAATGTCCTGACAGTTCGCTAAAAATGACACTGCAAAACAGTAGCAGGAGAGAAGCATTTGCATATGCATGCAGAGGAAAAAAGCTCCAAAATGTTTGTGATAGTGCAGAATGAGATCATTTAGTACAAGAAAATCTGATCTATCAGCCCACTGAGATTCAGGCAGTACTGAAGTTTTCCAAGGCTACTACACTGAATGTTTTTTACTAAAAAAAAAAAAAATGCACAATCCATACATTTACTGGCAGTTTAAGCTAATGAAAGACTAAGCTTTGAATCAAGCTCATCATCAATGGCCTTACAAAATGCCTTCTGCTCTAGAAGCCTTGATTCACTTAATCCTATCTTATCTTAAAGTAAGTCTTAGAAATAGAGGTATCTACAAAATTTTTGAAGTCAGAAAGGGAAGGGACACATGAAAGAGGTTTGAGGAATGGAAAACGCATCTACAAATCCTAGAGCCAGAGATGACTGCTGATGTAGGTACACCAAAGAAATTACACCCCTCTCTGAAGGCCTCCGTACCGTTCTAATATATTTAGCTCCTCAAGTATCTACTCAGAATGATGATATGAAAACTGTGGAGGCCTCGCTGCAATTATAAATTGCAACAATATTATTTTACATTGCGAGCAGCAAGATCCAGACACTGCTAAGCGTCTGCAGCATTTCAAATCGAAGTCAATACATAGCATGATTTTTGGTTCAGACAAATTTAGAAGTTGCCAGGGCCACTTCCACCTAGGTTTGCCTAGTACACAGAACACGCAACGGTACTCCTTTGTGGCACATTTGTCCTTATTGGCATCTCAGAGACAGAATGGGAGAAAGCAATATCTGAAGTCTTTCAGGCTTAAGTTGATCACCTCCACTGTTTTGAGGGACTCCTTGCCAAACCACTGAATGGATGCTAAAAAGTTAGGTGGATTCAAGGCTGGAAGGAATTCGGGAGAGCAACTGATCACTGTAGAGACAAGAATTCCAGTCACAACTTCTATATACACACCAAAAAAAAAAAAGTCATACACAGCTCAGGAAGTTCCAGACCAGAACACGCAGAAGGCTGGAAAGCTCTTAAGACGAAGTACTACATATTGTGCTTATTCCATCTACTTCCAACCACTGCTAGAGACAGGCTACTGGACTAGAAAGACTTTTTGTCCAACCTAGTGCAACCTTTATTAAATTATTCTGTCATTTAAACTGCAGAGAGAATTGCAGCCTAGAACAAAGTCTCCATCACAGATTTCTACAGTAGACAAACTGGAAGTGATCATCTCTGTCATCTTCTAAACCAGGTAAAATTATATGTAGAGGTGTCCTTTCTTGTATGACACTACAAGAAGCGCAACATACTAAGTCTCTATCTTTTGAGAGAGTTCTTCTACATCTTTGTAACACACTCTAGGGATGGGCTTACAAACTTAAATTCACAATGACCGCAGTACCACGTTTTACACTAAAATTGAAAGGGGTGGCATCAAATACAGTGGAGTCACATTGTGACAAGAAGAGAGACATAAGTAGCATTCCTTTTTCAGAACCTAGAATGAAAACAAATCAAGATGCTACATAAAGCTTGCTTCTAGAAAAGGTACATCATCTACAATGAATTGTACCTCTGACTTCCACTGTTAGCCCTAAATAGCATACAGCATATCTTTGAAACGTTTGCAGAAGGGAGGGAGAATAAATCCATGCATATGCTACCTGAAAAATGTCTGGAAGTTTCCGGAGACGTGTTCCTTTAGAGAGCAACAGAGAGGGTGGTCCTTGTCCAGTTATATGGTAAATATACAGTTTGAACCAAACTGAACTGACTTCTGGTATTGCAGGTCCAATATGCTGAAGAGAGATTATTCAAGAAATTAGAAAGAATTGAATATTGTAACTGTTATATGTACAGATACCATTTAAGAATTAACAGTTTTAAAGAAATATAAATCTAGTTTTGCAGCACAGGAGTTCAAATGTATTACTCTGCTACTGATGATATTCTAGGTCCTTAGTACAGTATTGCAAGACTCTTTACAGAAAGGTGATAGTAAAGGTATTTTCTATGAACATAATTTCAAGAACAAAGTATCTGTCATTGACTCTACTTGAACAGATAAACTGTTAACAAATTAGACAAATTTACTAAGCATTCACGTTTTTTCCTCACTAAACACTTCTTTTTAGACAAATTGCAACACTATTCTACATGTCAACAACTGAGTCACTTTAAAAGGGACATCTAACAAAACAAAGCTATTTATGCAAAACAAAGCTACTAAGAAGAGATTATATTACTAGATACTGGGGGGAAAACCCTCAGTATTTGTTCACCTGGGGTGTACAACTGCTAATAGGTCGAATTTCATTGGTGAGTGGTGCCATGGAAACCAGTAGAGTGTAATTTTTGTTGAGAACTCTGCTGCAGGTAGCTGGATCCAAGCCGAGCAAACTCTCACATCGTAAGAGGTCCAAGGGAAACCCTATGTTGAAAATGTAAAATTTTTAAATTACCACTTAAGAAGGAACATACAACCCAAAATACAATTTCAGATTTTTTATTCTCCCCTGCTAAGCCATGAATACAATATTTTCCACAGCTAAGTTTTAAATTATTGGGGTGAATTTTAATAAATCTGTACATCATTTTAGCAATTCCAGTCATACAGGGTTGTCTGGCACAGAACTACACCTTGCTCCTCACCTGCTAGCTGATACGAAGAAATAAGCACAGAGGCACAGAGAAGTAACCTTAAGAAAAAAATAAGAATCTACCCCCATTAGAAGAACACACTCCCTTTCATGACTTGAAAAATGTTTCTTTGACAGAACAGCTCTGAATAAACAATGACTCCTTTATACGGCTTTCAGAAGCACATGATCTGAAACCAATCTCTTCATCACATTGAGCTTGTCGTGCCATCATTATGCTTTAATCCATTGCTTCGGATGTTAAGTCCAAGCCTTGGCAACTAAATCTGTCATTCAACAGGCAAACCCAGTAATGCAGGCCCAAAGGATGATGAAAAAGTGATGTTTTGGTTCCAAAAATATTTTCTAACAAGTAGGATATGGATTGCTTTCTGAAATGGCAGCTTAATCAGAAAGCTGAGTCCATGGCAGATAAGTAAACAAACTTGGAAGGATTTCCTCACAAAATGTTCACAGTACCATTATTTGGTTGATCAGGCTGTACAGCTTGTGCCCCTAGGTCTTTATTATGCCGCAAAAACAGTATTGTGTTTCTCAAGGTAAGTGCATGATCGAAGTACCGCTGTGCTTCCCCTTCACCTGTGCTCTGAACCTAAACAAGAAACAAAATAAACGCATACAACAGGCAGGTTGTTTCCACAAGCATCAATTACACAAAAGGAAATATTAACAAATTAGCATTTTAAAGGTTTGTAATTGAGTAACAACTCTGCAGCTTATATGTAAAGGTGATATACAGCAACTATTAAATGAAAAGTAAGTCTTGGTCATGCTAGTCAAACAGTCAAAAAAAGTACACAAAGACAACACTTATAAATCAGAATTACGATTCAGTCTTTAGGTAAAAGGATTTACATGTCCAGTCATCCTGACTGGTATAAAATGATACAGCAATTAACAGCAGTCCTCTTACACAATTCTACAGTTGTCCTTCCAGAATTATCTTTAAAAGGTGGGTAAGTTAAACATTCCAGTACATAATGGTCAAATTTTCCTACAAAAGTGATGTGCAGACTTTCAGAAATATTAACACATTACTAAAAGGAAAGCTATTTCCATTGAACAAGCACTAATGCAGGTGTGTGTACACACAGACCTGGGCAAATGCAGTTCATGAACTCTGCTCACCAGACTCACCGCATTCATATACATGCATGGTGTGGCCCTGAAAGTCACTAAAGGTATAAATGCTCTGAATAAGAAACATTTTAACTCAATCACTTAGGTTCACTATGGTAAGGTGCTTGTTCTTATCATTGTATTGCTAAATAAGCAGTTTTATACAATGAAAATACTGGGGTTTCTTGGCCCCTTTAACACTGCAAGCTCCAAAAAAGCATTTGGTCAAACATATAACAGATTACCTTTTCCAGCTCCACCAAGAAGCTGTCAAGACTCTCATCTGACAGTTTCCCAACTTCAAACATAGTGACTGCATGACTTTTCAAGTTCTGGAACAACAAAGCAAAAATGTCTTAATTCTTTGAGAATGGAATGGGAAAGCAAAAGTTTTCAGCAAAAACATTTCGTAACAACATACTATACAGAAGGTTTTAAAAATAATACAGCTGTATTATATTGAAGTCAAAGTATTTTCAAGCTTTACATATTTATTCTTGGCATAATACATTGAATACTTTTGACATACTGGTGACAGATTTCCCATCATTAAAAAGGCAGTGAGAGTAGAATCAAACAGGAAGGCAATACGCTTTGTGTGTCCACTAGACAGATTCAGGCTGCTCTCGCTGGTTGTTTCAGCTATTAAAGAACAAAAAGAAAATATGTTGTGATCACATATTTTTATTTAAAAATAAAATCATCAAGTTTAAGTCAAATCTATTAAAAAAAGAAGAAAAAAGTTAGTTATTGCCATACTGAGTAGAACAGAATTCTCTTATCACTACTAAACTACTGATTGACTTAATTCAGAAGTCGGCATCTTTGTGTCAATTGATATCCATAATGCAAATCAGCCTCATCTTCAGAAAAAAAGCTATTTAGCTAAAGAATTTTAAACCAAGAAGTAGACACCACCTCCCCCACTGTATATTCCACATGAAACAAGGATCTACACAATCTGTGATACACTTATTTCTAGATCCCTCTACAGCCTTATGGCACTCTAGAAATATAAAAATAATTGAACCTAATGTATTAAAATTTACTCTTAGTGCTAACCTGGATCATCTTGACTGTTGGTATCTGTATCTGTGGCTGATGACCCAGCTTCCTGTATAGGACTTCTGTTTTCCCCACTGTCCCATGAAAGCAGCATCTTTTGAGGGTCCAAAGTACTCCTATTAATGTGAATTAAAATCCACATCTATCGGTCACTGTAGCACCAGAGAAGTATCTCTGCCTTCCAGTGCTAGTAGTCCATGCATAGGCATACCCAATACATGCCTTTCATTACTTCTAAGCTCTAAAAACCAGTCAATCTTGATGTCCCTCAGAGTCCTGCTTTAGCTTCAGCAGAAAAGTTTGAGGGTTTGAACATATCAGATTTTGAAAAAGATCTGAAAAATCAAGCCACCATCACTGAAGAAGAATCCAATGGAAAAAAATCTAATTCACTTTGTTCTCAGTCTGAATTACCATTAAAGAAAACTCGGGCATAGCAGTAATTTTAAATGGTTTAATAAATACTGAACTAAAAGTACCTGACAATTCTTAATTAATGCAACTTCGCACTCCAACTTGGAGAACCTTTTATTGACAATGTATTAACATTATTTTCCCAGGATTTGATATAGATATACACGTATGTAAGAGCGTCAGTGACACAACTGCAACGGTACCTGACAGCAAGGAAGCAAACTTTATGTACATATTCACTGACAGCAGTGCCAAGAGACTTTGTGTCTGTACTAGCACATTAACAGCTGTTCTTTCTGGTCCCAGCAGTTTAAAGCAAATGTACACTTGTCCATTTCAAAAGTGAGCAATGAGGCACTTAAAGGTCAAAAAGGCAGCACTAAGTAACAGCAACAAAAGTAGGAACTTACAGACTAAATTGCCACCCCTTATCCTCAGATTAAAGACAGGATCAAGTATTCTTGTCATCATACACACTAGAAAGCCAAGTGAGATCTGTTGTTGCAGAAGTCAAAAGAAAGCAACCAACAGCTTAGAACCAAAATTTGATTGTAAAGCTTTCTCTTCTATGAGAAAAAATAAGCCTTGTGAAAGAATGAAGACACTTACTTCAGTCTGTTTACCGAAGGAACATTCTTCCATGATGGATGAAGATTATCCAGGTTTATTACTTGCCCTTTTTTATGAGCAAAGCCTAACCGACAATACATGGACACAGCGTTCTGAAGAAATACACATATATGTAATAAGCCACTGCTATATGAAACCAGGCTGCAAGACAGTGAACTTTCCATATCAAGTTCAACAGATGCATAATACACACATACCTTTACTAAAGATAAGTCAATCTCTAGGACATTTGCAAGCTGAAAAAAAAAGAAAAAAAGAAAGAATAATTAACAATACAGTATTAACAATGCAGGGTAATTCACTGCTTGCGGGCTTCAGTATCTTTTTGTTGGTTTTCTTCATTTTTAAATCCAGCCTGCACTGTTAGCAGTAATTCTGTCTTCATCGAAACTGAAGAGAAAAGGGGATGAAGTCTCTTAATTATCCCACATGAAAGCATGCAAAAGAAATATGAGGTTATCTTCCACTGTGTAATTTCTAGGTTAATCCTGTATATCAGAAGACACAAAGAGGAAAACAAATCCTGTATATATTTAATGGGTATTTTTCAGGTGCTTATTCACCAAGTTTTAAGAATAAGACTTTATGAAAACATATTTCTCATACTAAAATACTTATGCAAAAGTTATATCCCTACTTTAAGCCAACACCCTGTATGCTTTCACTGCCAAAGAAAAAAATTTTAATTTTTTTATTTCACACTAGCAAAACAGACTCTGTTCCAGTTCTAGCTCATATAAAATAGTCTACATTAGCCACCTCTGTATAAATTCATTCCAGCTGATGGAATTGTTTCACTGAATTGAAGGTACTCCTTCAAGCCTGAAGCACTACAAAAGTTACATTCAAGATAAAACAAACTGGTTGGATCTTAAGCCCAGATAAAATCACTTGATATCAATCCACATCTCTGCCTTAAGTATTTTCAGTAGTGTGCTGTGGGCCCTTTCAAGTATTCCTATCTCCCTGACACAGGATAAGTTTTACTTACCTCTGCCACATTAGTGTGTTCATCTATTGAAACAAATATCTTGTACAGCAGTGTCTCAAAGTAATCACCTTGCACTCTGTTCATCACAAAACCTTCAAGTGGTGGCACTAAAAAGAAGAATTACTTGCAAAATTACAATTTGGTAGCTTGCTTTATTAAACTGAAACTGCATAAAAACAGAAAAATAAATTTACGCTTATTTAGTTTTCATGGCATCTGTAATTTTGACGATTTCCCATTCACAAATAAAAGCCTAAAGATAGGATACAAGGTATTCAAAATTCTCCCACTCCTTAAGAAAAGTAATGGTTGTCAGTGTGTTTTCTTATAAAAAATAAAGCCACTCTACCTCGCATCATAGCCTTGCAGTCTTCGGTTCATCCGCTACAGATAATTTCCAGTCATTCAGCCCATAAAATGACATTGTAATGTGGACAGAGATTAAATCATGGCTCTGATTGGAGTGGCACACAAAAAACCCACACACTCCAGAGCTGAGACTCCCAAAGCTATTATCTAAGCACTAAGTCTCTTGTATTTAGAGGACTTTCACTTAATTGATCCCTATTACAGCAACGACGGGTACTTCTGCATGACCAGGTTTCAAACAACTTATGTCTTTGCAGATTATACTGAATTCAGTAAACCCCCAAGACCTAGCATAGCATAATGAATTGTTCAAAGGGCAGCCATATGCTGTGCTAGTTTAAGCTCCTACATAGTCCCCAGACAACTACAATTGAGGTGACAAGACCATGAAGAATGGAACCGGTATCTATAAAAACATTGCATCTGTCTAGAAAATAGCAGTCAAACCCCATGTTTCTTTATGCTCTTCTTCCTTTTCATTTGTGAGGGTACTTGTCATTCTACGACTCTTTTAAAGATTCTCATCTTACCCAAATATGTATACAAAATAACCTAAGAATTCAAGTTGAAATAAATCCTATATACAATAAAAACAATGTTTTAATAGATTTGAAAGCATTTAGTCAGGAAAAAATTTCACAGCTGAAATGTTTTGTTTAAGCAAACTCATGCACATAGACAAGCAGCTTCCAAGACACAGAACTACAGGATAACTGAAATGAAACCAAGAAAACATAGGTATAATACCATTAAATATTTACTCACCTGCTATACAGCTGTCATCAGATATTGGTACATCAAGGTAAATAAATCCTTTGTTATACAAACCTTCATAAACAAAAGCACATAATTTTAGAAAAAAGCATTTTCCAGAGTACTAATGATACAAAGTAGACTTCCCCATCAGCCAATTCAGAATTTAAAGTAATTTTTCCTAATAACTTCTGCAGTAGAATATTACTTTGCAATGCATTGATCAATAGATCACATCTAATATTAAACAGGTGTCATCCTAAACCAGAGTTCTTTACTTGCAGTCTGATACAGTATACTTGGAGCTCTACAAGTACTTTCAGGACAGCACAGCAGAATGACCACAGATTGAAGCAGTTACATTGGATAAAGACGAGTGGGTGTCTGCCTAAATGTTAACTTAGTTTTCATTATGATCACTGTACTATCAAGAAGTGGGTTTTTTTTCATCTTGAATTAGTTTTGTCAGCTGAGGATGCTGGCTACATTCTGATTCTCCCCTAGCTCAGGCTAGAACTCACACCCTTCATAGCAAGGATACAAACTAAACACATCAATTGTGATAGTCTCACATGTCCTTCCCACACATCTTCACAGAAAGTCTTTTTTTTAAACAACTGCAAAAACAAATTTTGGGGCATTTCAGCACAAGGCATCAGCAAAGCTGCAGCAGATACAGACAGACATTGCATAGAATACGGACAATAATATGGTAGATTTTTATATTTTACTTTCCTCACATGAGATTGATTTGAGCGCTAAGCATCTCAAGTGAGTTTGGCAGAGTAAATAAGCCAGGGAGAAGTTTTTAAGGAAGTGCAAAACATTTCAGTATGGTTATCTTTAGTCTAAGGTTTGTAACAGCTCTACTCTAATAGTAAAGCATAAAGCTAAATTACACAGTATAAAATAAGCCAAATTTATTGTCAGTGGTTCCTTCTGTGTTACCCAAGATCACTCCATCTACACCATATTTATTACAGTGGGGAGGAAGCGTACCAACAACCCTCAGGTGAAGCATTATTAAACACCTGAAGTAGAACTGTCAGGATGTTTCACATACACACAAAGCTCAGCCCAGTTATAGCATGTGTATATAACTATAGCATATCTAGTAAATTACTATCCCCAATTAGATCTTAAATAAAATACCTGCATTAAACCAACAACTAACCTGAATTCATGCTAATACAACTGCTGCTCAGCACAGGCAGTTACACATACTTAGCTGTGCAAACTGATGTGTATCAACAAACCAGCTTTAATGGATCAGGATGACATTACAAGCCTTCAACATGTTAAGGGTGCTTTTCACTGTCTCTCCTTCAGACTCAGGACTCATAGCTAATACATCCTTACTCACTATACCTTGAATGTATTGATGGCATTGTAGTTTGGACCTAACAACTCTCTTTCCCCATAAAATCCCATCCTACTGGCAGTCCATTACATTAATCATCTGTACATTCTTTTTCTACCCATCAGTCAGGGTACAAAGGTACACAAGATCCTTCTAAACCTGAGCTGTAATCCTCTCCACAAGCAACACCAGGCCATGTACAGAGAAAGATCATGAAGTGTTTTCAGAATTCGAGTTTTCTGAAGCCTTGTATTGTTTCAGATCCACTCCAGAGCTTGAATTGCACCTACCCTACTTTCTTTTATCATTATTCTGTTCTGCTTCAGTAACAGGCAGTGGAATTCTGCCTCAATTTCTTAGGGAAACTACAGCGCACAGGTGCGACTGCTTGTGTTAAGCCAAGCATTTACAGACAGATTTCTCGAGGAGGAGTTTGTCAGTGAATCTGTACTCCCTTGCCTAATATGAATTGTCTATATCTAATACTTGTTATGCTGAAATGGGGAGGCACATACACTTTTCCAGTAACAGCTGCAGACCTCTGACAAACAAGACAGTCTCTTAGATTTAAGCTATTTTTATGGTGTTCAAGCAGTAGAAAATCAAAAACTCTCCTTTGAAAAGCAAGGAGTGAAGTTTTACCACCCAGGATTACCAACTCTGACATTTTTAATTTTAGTTTCTCTTGTCCTCATCTACATCCCTCTCCCCCACATTTTTACTGACAGTTTCTAATGATAGAATTTGTTGAATCAAACATTAACAGAGCAACAGCTGCTAATGGCTCGCTGTTAAACCATTTACAGGATCTAGACTGCAGTCTGTACAAGCTCTTGAATATTTTCCACCACCTCCTCTTATGCTTCAGCTGTCTACATCCCCTATTATTCCTAGTTTTCAGACACTACTCAGAATTTACTAAGCAAGATTCACAAACAGAAAAGGAATGTTCATTGAAAACTTACTATGAACTACATTGAAGTCTAATGAACCAGCAAGTTGAGGACCTGAATCAATTATCTTGTCAACAGCAGACTTCTCTGATGTAGTACAAATCTAGGTAAAAGAAATCATGTTAGTCTTTTGTAGAAATGAGTCTATGCAACTTAATACCACTCAAAAAAATCCCAAACATTTCAGCCTCAAAGCAGTCATAAGTAATATAAGAATACAGGAAGCAACCTGCGTTCTTAGTCAAAATATTTGCACTGAAGAATTCACTGCAGTTCCTGTTAAAGTCCTAACACAGTATAATCTGTTTGCTTTTAAAACTTCCAAACTGAGTGTTCAGCCACACAACTGGACATACAGCCACACAACAAAACGTTCTAGAAAGAGGTCCATTACAAGAGCAGAGTAATGTGCTTCAGGTTAACTACTCTGGGTTGATGGGATGTCAGAATATAAGTAGCTGCTGCCAAAAAAAGATTCCATCACTGCTTTAAATATGTTACAACCTAAACAAAAGACTTACAGGGAAGGAATTAAATCCAGATCAAATGACTAGTTGACCGTAACAAGAAACTGTGAGAATGTTTCATCCTCATTCTACTTCCATTAAGTCAACTCACAAGTTTTTCATGTGCAAACAATTAAAAAAAATAAGGAGACATGAGGAGCAGAAACAATGAAAATATGTATCAAATAAAGTCCACTAACATTCTGATCTAATTATACGGAAGGTGAAGATTCAGTCAAAACTGAGCTGCCAGGGTTTAAATAGGAAATTTAAGAAAACATATTTCGTTGCTTGTTCCCTACAAAGCACATTATCGTGCATGTTAGTTACCACAGACTGACTGATGCAAAACCACCCCAGCACTGTACATAACACAGCAGGTATAAGGGAGGGAGAGGGTAGAATATGTCAAAGAAAACATCACAATGGTCATTAATTCCATTCTCTACCTCCATAAAATAGTAGTTAGAAACCTGCAACATAATATTTGTTTATTCTACACAAAAGTACGCTCTTGTTTTCAGGGACTATCAGTATTAAACCAAAATTAGAGATGCAATCCATACTAAAATACCTTGATGTCATCCTCAGTGATGTAGCCAGACTGTACAACCCACCATGCTTCTATAGCAATCTCGACAGGTTTCACAGGTAACAGATCATGAGCAGTTTTCCTTCTGAAAAATTTCTGCAGTGGTACAGTCCATTTGAGATAGTAATAAAAAGCACTTCACATGTGCAGACAGCCATTTACCTTTATATAAACTGATTTTTATAAATATCCATTTTTAAGTACATTATATTCACAGACTGGACACACCTAAATACTATTACCCTTGTCATTTAGTGAAAGTTCTCCTCCTCTCTCAAATCACATGGAAATGGGAAGGGAAAAAAAAATTATTTCCATCTGATACTGTTAAGTTTTCCCATAAACCCATATTTTCATCTATATTGTAGGTGTCACTAATTAAAACCCACAGTATTCAAACATATTAGGATCAAGTCCAAATTTAAACTACTTATGACATTTTTCTGATATGAACAGGTCAGAATATCAAAGTATACAAATGGGATATTTTAAAGACATTCAGTGATCTTAAAAAAAAATATTTTAGGAACATATTTTATTTAAAAGACAAAGTACCCCACATTCTTAATAAGCATGGTGCTAAAAAAGCACCATGAATGTCAGCTGAAGAAAGAAAAATCGGAGGATGCTATTTATAGACCTAAAGAGCTTCTCTTCCATTGTATAGCCGTTACTTTTTGGTTCACTATCAGCTTCACATTTTGGTAAGCACACTTTTGGTTGAAGGAGCACTGTGAAGCTACTGCAAGAGCACCTTTGAGTTTCCTGAAGAAAGAAAGGAACTGTTGCAAACTAAAGGGCCTGCTTCCATCAACAGTCATTACAATGTTTTCCACATGTGCTGTTCACATGCAAGGATGCCTGTTCAGACTTATTACCATTGTCTTAAAGAAAAACATACATATTACAGAAATTTACACCTAGACGGATGACTGTCCCGGAATAAACGCCGATCCCAACTGCACCCACAGAAACATGGAATAATTATTCCAGAACCAGTATCGTTATTTCATGTTTATACTGGCCTGGACACATTAGTTACCAGGTGCCATAGAGTAAATATAGCTCTGAAAATATAAGATAAAAAAAAAAACCAACCCACAAACATAGCACTGAATATCTTTTTCTTTAGTATACTTTGATTTTAAGTTAAAAAGCTCTTTATTAACTTCAGGAAGCACAATCTAATTAGCAATACACTATGTCACACTCAGTTAGCCACACTATTAAACTAAATAGGCCCATGAAATTACTCTATTCTTCAATTCCTATGAAATAATACTGGGGGAAGGGAAGGGTGAAGGAAAGGTAGGGGAAACTAAAGACAAACTTACTTTTGAAGACCTACATTGGTTCATTAGATCTATATACTGGTTTCTTCCTATACCAAGAAGTCTTAGACCTGAAAAATAAGTCAGATTTTATTTCTCTTAAGACAGGTTTAAGCTGAAGATATATAAAACATTCATCAAAGAATCAGACTTACTTCTATAAAAATATTTTTAAAGTACTGTTTCTTCCCAAAATAAAAGGTTAGTCATAGGAGCTAAATTCAGTTCTAAATGAATTTGACAGAGAACCATGTGCATCTAAAACCAGAATCCATCCACAGTCATTTACTCTGCACAGATTAAAAAAAAAAAATGCCTTCCACTCAAGTCACAGGGTAGCAGGGAATAAATCCAACCCCTTTCTCTCCTACACTCACATCAATAGGTAATAACTATGCCTCAAATTAACAGGATGAAAGTTGTACCAGATTTTGGTCAACAGTTTTTCTTCCCCGTACCAAAGCCCACACCATGCACTGGATTAGAACTCCAAACTAACAATTAGAGCACAAAAGGGCCCATAAGCTTCTAAGGAACATGATTAAGATATAGTTGAGTTAAACTGAACCAAAATTTAATTCTATAATCTCTAGCCTTCAACCATTAAGGAACTATGAACAGATCCTGGAAAACAGTTCATTAGTTTTAACCCATATTCTGTCTCAGTTTTAACTCCAACTTTCTAGTTTGACACTAGTTTTTATGATAAAATGTTAATAAAGATGTTCAACTTAATTATACCACAGTCACTGACCTGCAGCTGCTGCTAAAATAACAGAATTGCTAGCAGGGGGAGTGGGGGAACAAACAAGGAAGCCTTTCTTCTCTTCACACTCCTGACTAACACTAGATTTCCAACAAGCTACGTGGCACTGAGGAAAAAAGTTTTTCCTTATCTGTTTCCCCAGTGTGAACATTACATAGAGGCAAATTAGTACAGTTAACTGACAATATCCTTTTTTTAAAGAAAAAAAAACCAAAAAACACACCACACAACTGTTTTCAAAAGCTGCAGGCTACTCCTCACCTGACTACACACTAAACCTTAAAGAGAACTTTATAAATTCATACCAAAGTGAGGAATGAAGTCTTTAGCTATAAATAACTTCTCAGTGGCAGGTTTGAATAACACCCTCCCTATGCCATCAGTTTACATTTTGCTCTATAAGACTTATCAGTAGGCTATTGCTCTTACTCTGTTCTCCTCTACTAGGTTTAACATTTTGGCATTCCTCATCTCCCCATCTCACGCCCACAACGGTCTAATAAAAAAACAGATAAAACATCTGGCACATCCAGGACTGTCACAAAATACCAGATTCTCTTCTCTCTCTCTTCTGGTACATCATCCCTCAAACCCCACTGACACTAACTTACAGGAATGTCAACGGCCTTTCAGCATCTTGCTAAAGCTTTCTGCCCAACACATGCCAAAAAACACACTAGGAAAGGACCAGCAGCTCAGCTTGCTGATGCACAACAGCCAATAAGACTTTCTACTCAGAAGTCCAAGTTAACAGGAATGCAATACAAGCAAGGGCAGAAGTTGCACGAGGTTTTGCATCATGCCGATCTGCACTCAAAACTAGCCCAATTCCACTGCTGACCATATGGACAGAACTCTGTACGGAGAGCACACACTCCTTACCATCACTATTTAAGTGCTTCTACACTTTCATTCACATGCTTATGTTCAAGCGAACAGATGCCAGCAAATCCATTTTCAGAAGCAACTTTTTTCCAGCTCACTGAAATCAGTAATGCAGCTAGGTAATACTTACAATCAGCAGCAGTGAAGTTGGGTAATGAATCATAGCTCTTTTCACTGTTCATTATATCCTTAAAAAGACAAGAAAACTTAGTTGCAACAAGAAAGCCACCATTTCAGAGAAGCAGGTACAATATTCTGCCTGTCTTTTTTTTTTTTAAGAAAAAATGAAATTAAAACAAATCTATTAAAGTCAGTTACCTCAAACTTGCAACTACTTGATTAATTGTTACACAATAAGTTAAATACATAAAAAATGAGACTTTCTTTTAATGTAAGCTTTACAAAGAAAAATGCTGACTGAAAGAATAATAAACAAAAACTTGTATCTGTCTCCACAAAAAAACAGCACACAGAATTGCTAACGGTAATAACAGAATAAGCTAACAACTAATCCATTATGTCTGCAACCACCATACACAAAATAAAAACACACTTCTGATATCCAGTGAAAATAAAAGAAGGTTGTCAGAGTGCTGACAGAAAATAGAACCATCTTTGTTTTCATAAAAAAGGACCTGTTTCAAGCTTTTGAAAAAGCTTCTAATATGGTTAAGTGTTCTTTTTGAAAAAGAACAAAAAAGAAAATAATCATTGTGCTGGTTTTCAAAAATAATGTGCTGGTTTTCAAAAATAATAATTCTCTTTGTTTTATTAATCTAACAGAATAAGGTATTTCTTTTACAGTTTGAAATGAAAAGTCACAAAACTCAAACATCAAAAGAGAAAAACTAGGCTCAGAGTAAGTCCCTCCCCAGCTCCACATGACAAAGTCCAGCTCGTGAAAGGTTAACAGAGGCAGAAAGGGAAAAAAAAACCCGCAGGTACAAGCAGTTCTCTAGAAACTTTCCTTACTGTTTCCTTACTTGTTAGAACACCCTACCCAAACTCAAACTACACGACACTGCCTCATATGCATTACAGGGTCGTTACCAACATCTCTAGAACAGAAAACAACATATTCTCGCCATAGTTTTGTACTTACCTCCATTATGCCTGTGTAATACGAAAACGGTGTTACCCTCAGACCTTTTACCATGATGTCAGACAAATGATAAGGGTACAACATGAGATGATCTCGACTGTATTTTAACAGATCCTCATAATATTTACGTTCGTCTTTCTTGACATGCTTAACTACAAGGGGAGGAAAAAAAGTTACATTGTTCTATGATGTTCAATTTTTAAAAAGTGTTACAATGAAAGGATTGAAAATAGTGTAATGGCCATTGACAGAAAACTGAAAACAAAATAAAGGAGTGGTGCAGAGCATTTAACATGCAAGGATTTCTACATACGATGCAAGTACTCTCAGAGCGTTTAAGGATGATATTAAAACAGAGCAGATGTATCTTACAGGTTACCAGGAAGTGGCCCATTGAGACAGAACTCATGCAGGCTGTAGAAAAATTATCTTTTCATTAGTGAAACTACTATCTACTTTGGGAAGACAAATGGATGCAGTCAATACAAACTAAATTGAAAGTCTGTAAACAATTCAGAGTCAATAACTCATGTGAGTCAGGGCCACTGTCTGCATCTCATCTAGTGACAGGCTTTATTTTATTAGTCAAATCCTCCCTTAACATCACTTAATTTCTTGGAAAAGGACAACATTTTAGGAATTCAGTTCCACCTGCAACTCAGTAATCTTAAAGAGTGCTTCACTAGAAAAGCTACCAAATGCACTTAAAAGGTGAGACTTATCTTGATGTTTTATCATTTAAAAGTATTTATTTTCAGGGAAGCAGGTACTTCTGAACAGGGCTAGTTCTTGCAGTTTTACAATAAAGACAAGCTTCCACACAGAAGAATCAGGTAGCAATTAGGAGTTACTTAGCTCCTTTACTCACCTAAGTTATTCCGGTATCGTAACTGATTGCGGATGCTGTAGAGTACTACCTGCCTTTCATATTCCCTCTGAGAGTTTCCAAGACCCTTGAAAACATAAAGGCCTTTTAGCTGACACACACAAACCCCCTTTTAGTTAAACTACTGCAACGTGTCTTATGAGGAAACATATGCAGGCAGTTGTCATTACTCAACGAGTCCCCCAGTGCAACAGTGATAGTATCATTAGTCTCTGTATGAGGTCAAAAGTATCTTTAGTTAAATAAGTAAGTTAAAGTAGTAGTGTAAGTAAAGTATAAGTCATTAAAGTCTACACAGGATGCAGATTTAAGCAACAATCTTTAGACTTTTATTCCTAGTACCATTCTGGTAAAAAAGGGAGCATCTAATTCTCAAATTAAAGGATTTAAACCATCTTTTAGAAGACATGAAGCATCAAGCATTTTACCAAGCATTCAGCATCTTGCAGTCTTGAAGAATTACCCAGAATTAGTGTAGCACAAACCAAGCACGGTGAATGACATGTGAAGCTTCAAATGCTACACCTAAGAAGCTTATAATGCAAAAAATAATGAGACAGCTCAAGCTGTAGCTTCACACAAGGCAGGCAATCAAGTGATCTTAAGTCACAAGGTTAAGACATAAGCACAGCACATTACTTGACTATCGTGAAAGAAGATAAAAAGAGAACTTTGGTTGATGCTTTAAACTCCCCATTTCAAAAAATGTCCCCTCAAAATTCTTATTACTCTTCTACTCTGCATCCACAACAAGCAATCTGGGTGGGGGTTTTTTCCCTCTCCTGGTTCCCTCATTGATGCTCGTATTAAAAAAAGACCTTTTGATAAAGAGGTATTTTACTGCATATATGGGATTAACAAGTAAGTTGCACACATACTGCAGAATCAGGTATTAGAAAAGAAACACCTGATGTCACAGACAAGGTCCATAATTGATTAAATAACCAAAGAGGGATCCAAATATTTGCTCAAAGTACAAAAATATTAAGGACTATTCTAACATTAAACAAAATAGCATTCAGGAAGTTATGTTAAAGTAAATAATGCATTAAATACTGGTATATTTTCTACCCTGAATCATACAGCCAAGAGGATGGCACTCAGTTGGGCAGGTAAAGAGAAATCATCATTCATGTCCCTCTTACAACTCCTGAAATCTCAAATTCAAGGAATTCAATTACTCAGGGCCTGCAGTCACTACTCATCCTCTCCATTCTTCCCTTGTGCAAGAGCAGGAATTGTTTAACAGCATCTGCTTTCAAGCAGCGTAAGACTTTGGAGACAAGAACCTCCTCTCGACTTGACACAATACCTCCCCTCTGCTATCACAGGCCCATTAAATCCAGAAAATCAAAATTTAATGAGGTTTTCTTTTCCACGAGCTTGTGGAGAAGCTTCCATGAGTGTTGCTTCCACTGCAACAGTTCCTTGACTACCGAAACACAGGGCTGCACAAGTCTCCGATGACTCCTGTCCTGTTTGGCTCACACGACTCAGGGGCTGTGCAAGGGACACCTCCCTCAGCTGGTCTGGCCCCTGCACAAGCCGAGACAGGACCCCCCACATCTCCCTCTGCCCAGAGGGGACCCAAACCACCTCTACATTCCCCTCCCCTCACAGAGGCTCCCCCGAATACACAAGAATATGCCCAGCTCCTCACATACAGACCCCACACCGCTCTCATACCCCATTCTCCCCACAGACACCACACACATCCCTCCCTCTACCCACAGAGGTGCCGTACAAACCTCCTGTCCCCCTCGCTTCACATGCAGGCCCCACACCCTCCTCATACTCCCCTCTCCCCACAAGAGCCCCC